GTGCTGGTGCTGCTGCTGGTGGTGGCGGTGCTGGTGCTGGTGCTGGTGCTGGTGCTGCTGCTGGTGCTGCTGCTGGTGCTGCTGCTGCTGCTGCTGCTGCTGCTGCTGCTGGTGCTGCTGCTGCTGCCGCTGCTGCGTCTGCCGCTGCTGCGTCTGCCGCTGCTGCCGGTGCCGCCGATGCCGGTGCTAGTGGCGGTGGCGGCGGTGGCGGTGGCGGCAGCGGTGGCGGAGGCGGCGGTGGTGGTGGGTGGCGGTGGTGGCGGCGGCGGCGGCGGCGGCTGCTTGTGGCAGTGTATTATGGGCGGTGATGGTGATGATTGTCCCGGTGGCAGTAGTCAACTTCTGCTGCGGCGGCTGTGTCTGGACATGTCTGGACATTAGCCCAGAATGCATGCATGCTGGTAAACCAATTTTCATGACTAGAGAGTAGTTAGCATTGCTTTTACATACCACCTTGCATTTCTTCCCGTCTTTGGTGCTGCTCGTCTTCTCTTGGTCCCCGTTAGGGCGGCTAGGGATCCTTGATACCTTTCGGGTGTTGTTTTCTCAAGTTACGCTGATTATCACCAACCTTTCAAGGCGGCCATTATGGTTGTCAAGGGTCTTGTCATAGCTGTAATTTGTTATTGTTGCTCTGCCAAATGCTAAAATCGCAGAGGTCGGGCTCACCACCTTGCTACCTCGATGCTACTACCGTCGTTGCTTACTGTCTTTCCAGCATTGCAACCACTGGTGATGGCCGACCTACAAGCCAGAGGCAGTATCCCCCAAATCCTAAACCCTGAAAGCCCTAAACCCAGAACCCAACCCTGCACCCTCACACGGATGAGGTGACAGGCTCGGGGGGCCGATTGGAGCGAGCTTGCTTGGAGCTCATAACTGAGAACAACTGTGATCTGCTGGAACAGCAGCAGGACTTGGTTGAGGGGTTCGGTTCTTGGGGTTGGCAAGTTGGGGGCTTAGGCTGCGGAAGCAGAAGCCAAGTTAGGAGAAGGGATATACGCCGCTACCTTGAGCATGGAGGATCGCTGCTGCTTCGTGGGTTGTATGTAGTTGTATGCAATGAGGGCCTAGGGCCTAGGGTGTTCCTCAAACAAAGTGAACTTAAAGTTTCCCAAAGCGATCCTGGATTTCTCAGCTTGACCCATTGCATCCCATTGCTTACAATGCTTTACATATACATCTAGATTTCAAGATGACCATCAGCTCAACCACAACATCTCCATCCATCTGTTTCTGATTTCTGATTCGCTTTCTCAAGCAAGCGAAGAGAATCCAGAGAATCCCGCTAGACCACATACCCCGGAACGTAGAGCCGCCTCCACCAAAGATTCCTGTTCTTCGGGGGATTAGGGGTTTGTTGCTAAATTGGATGGGATTCATTTTGAACTAGATCCAGAGACAGGAGAAATTGGATACCATAGCGGATGCCAACCCGGAGCTCGTAAAGCAGCTCTTTCGGATCTTGCTGGATGCCAGGGGCAAGAAGCGACGAACGACGGAGTAAACGCCTATGGGCTCGGTCTAGACCTGACATGTAGGGCTAGACTCCCAACCCGGAGACTCCGTCACCGGCCCAAGATCCGGCAAAGATCCTCCAGACGCAATCCTCAACCGGCGATGAAGAGATCGTGAAGTCTGCTCAGAAGGTTTGAGTGTGTGACCAGCGTTGGGGAGTTCACGGCCAGGGAGGCGCGCCGCTTGCGCTTTCTCTTTGGTGGACTCCAGACCTACGACACGAGCAGACGAAAAAATGTTGGACACAATCAAGCCAAGCCCCAGACAAGACAAGGTTCTCAAGTTGCCGGGATTGCATCAGACCAGATATGAGAGATCAGCCAATATCATTGTAGACTTGCTTGACGCGGCCGGACCAACATATGCAATGTTCCCAAGACAAGTAAGAGCCTTGACAGTGGGGCCCTTGAAGAGAGACATCACTCACTCTCATGACCCACGGGTCTCAGTCCTACGGAGAATAAATGGGGATTGGTCTAAATTCCCTATAATACGGGGTCCTATATTTGGGTTCCCATTATAATACGGGGCCCTATATAAATTTCCCCCATTTTGGGAGCAGTAATTTAGGGAAACTACCAAATACCCTATTATATTAAAGTAGTTTCCATTTTATTTTCCATTATCCCAATATATCCCCAATATAACCCCTATATAATAGTAGTTTCCATTTTCTTTTCCATTATCCCATCATTCTTGTACCCCCCTGCCTGGCTCGAGAGGGGTCTGCTGCAGTGGAAGGCTGGCACGGAAGCCACTCCCAAAGTAAGCGCCTAATTAACGTACAAGCATTTCCGTTGCCTCTATCTGATTCCTTAAGCTGTATGGGGCATGAAGGTCTTTTTTTGGAAGAGGTACCTTGAGGTAACCTTTCATGTTTAACAACATTCCAGCAGCAATCTTGGTACCCACCCAGATGTGAGCCTGGGGGATGGCATCTTTTTAAAAAGATATGTCACCCTGGAGTTCCAGGAGTGCCTGGACCCCAAGACGCCAGCTAGACATGTTCTAAGATTCACCGACCCGCACATACTTTGCCTTGACCCTGGCCCTAACATGTCACACCAACACAGCAGACTCCGATTTTAAGATCTTGCCCCAGATCCTCCTTGGTCATGGGAGGCCAGGAACGGGGAGGGTCTACAAAGGCTCACGCATAGTCTAAAGCGGGTGGTGAGCGCCCTAAGTTAGCGTATTCACAACGCATCATGCTTGCGAGGCGCTACTAAATGCAATTCGAGCTTTGATAAAGATGTGTTTTCTTTGTATGCTGATTGGGTATTCATAACCCCACTTGCAACTACTGGTGAACTTCCACCTTCAGTTATATCGGCGATCGGACGGGCTTCCGATGCGCTTGTTCTGCGTCCAAGAAACAAACCCCTTGCTGCCCGATGTGAGTGTTAACAATTAAAGTCGCAGCAGAAGATTTGGGCCGTACCTGCACGAATCTGCACGAATGGTATAAGTAAGAAGGATAGCGTCTCAAATCACTCCCTCCATGGGCAGTTGGAGGTATGACTGATGCTGCGAGTCCTTCAGATTTTCAGGAGTCGAACGGTCACAGGGAGGGTTGACAAGCTGTCCAGACAAAGTGGCCGAAACACATGCAATAACGTCAAGACTTTGACTCTGGAGGTCTTAGCCATGCCCCCAGTGAAGAGAAGATTCTTTTTTAGGCCCCAAGTAGCAGCATCCCTACCATGAGGGCAGTACACCGGAAACCGTATGAACCAAGCGCAATTCGTGCCACATCCCTCTATCATCACCACACAATCCTCGTATATACAGCTTTTCATGAAGTCATGGTATCTTCCAAGTATGCCCGCTGTCTCATTCCTTCTGCCAGGTGTACCGCATTAGTCCTACTGAAGCTTCATAGAAAAGATTCCCTGCTGTGTATCAGATTTAGATGGAACATTGTTTTCCATTGCTGAGCAGTTGGGGAAACATTTCCAAAATTGTTTAGGTTGCAAGCCCCCAGTCTACTGCCCCAGGCGGCGCCAGCAAAGAATCAGAGGAGAAACAGCGGAAGCTGCAAAACGAGGCAAGAACCTTCGGCAGAACTCATATCAGGGTTATATAACGGCGCGGAATCCATGCAGGGGTTTGTAAGTTATATGGGATTGACACAGGGTTATATGGGGAGGATATAACATACTGTGGGGGCTATATAGCGGCCTTATAGTGATCATATGATGTTCGCTTTAGGGATTCTGGGCGTCAGTATTGCTTGTCAGGGACTTCCAGTTTGGAGCGGGATGCCTAGATGGGAGTTTCCAAAAAAGCAGAGGGCCCTGTTTGTTGAAACGAGGGATTACGGTATTTTGGAGTCTGTCCCCCCCGAACTATTCTTCCCGGTAAGCGCTCTTGCCCCTTTACTTTCTCTGTCCGTGACTCCCCCTCCAACTCTTCCACTTGAGCCACAACCGTTTATCTCCATGAAAGGAACTAGTCTTC